TAAACGTTTTATGATTAAATACGGCCTTTGTTGAGATAAATATTTGATAGGTGATTTACAGTGTCGCGCCGTATTGAAGATATGCATGTTATGACAGATGTGTAATACATTTAAGTACTTATTAATTTTACTCTGCGTCCTTTTTGTCTACTTCTCGTAAGCTCTCCGTCATTTTGGCTATCAAAGGATTGTTCACTACATGAAGACATACGGTTAAACATGTCCCGACAGATATTCACTTTTTCACACGACCCTAATGTTATTTCAATCGCTGGGACATATTAAATGTATCTTTCTAAATAAGAACTTTGTGCCTTAAAGAGCGCAACGAAAGCCTTGTTGTGGGATTAAGCAATTCTTGGAATTTTACCCCGAATCATTACGTTATGTTAACTAAAATATTGTTTTAAGTGTAATTCAAAATGTAAACATGGCGTCGAAACCTTGTGAAAATGATTGCGTTGTTATATGAAGTGACCGAGTTCCCTCTGCAGAGCAAAATTTTGTTTGTCGTTTTACGCCGCACTCAAGCTATATTCAAGCCATATGGCGGCGCTCTTTAATTATTCGAGTATGGACCGGACAATCCAGTGATCAACATCATGACACGTAACCAACTTAGTCGCCTCTTACGACAAGCATGGATTGCTGAAGATCAATTATAACCTCAAGTCAAAACATTGATTACACAACAGTCCTGTATCCTGCTGACTGGGTTCTGTCCTATTCGCAACTTAGTACAATAACCAGTCCAGAATTTAGAGACCAGCTCATTCAACTGCATGGATATATAAATATTAATCAGTCAGTATTATTTGATACATCTAATCACTTGTATATTGCAACACTACGCTCCTTCTAATCCTTGCGAACACGTCTTGCAGCGTGCTCTGTCGTACAGCGTGCAATGACAAACGGAAATCTGGAAATAGTGGAAATCTCAAAACGAGACTCTGCCGCTAGAAAAATTTGGCGGTCTGGTACGGATTTGATATTATATCAATCACATTGTACGTTACAAAACTACACTTAATTAGCGCAAAAAACACATAACAGGTGTAACCAGTGAGCCAGATGCATTGTGAATCATTTTACGACCTCATCACACAGGGGCAGTCTGTGACGTCTTAGTTAACGACATTCTGCCTAAACCTCGACATAAAATATAGAAAAACGATATTTTTAAATCTTAATATTAAAATTAATTGTAAGTGCCATTTTCTTATGACACAAAGGACTGGGATTCTGTGTAACCATAGTTGTTTGTAGTGTCTCTTTTCACTTTCACACGTGAAAATTCGGATCGGCTGAAAAGTAGGTCATTGTCTGAATTGGTTAATGAGACTCATGTTTCTGTTTGGACAATCTTCACGGGTCCTGTAGAGCAAGACGACATTTTACTCGATTCCTCATGTGAGAACATTAGCTTGTATATTCCTATGCAAATGGACGTTTTTTCACAGGAATTGTTGTAATATGTCATTTTACGCACAATAAATCAAACCTATCGTGTAAGGAGGAATTATACCTGAATAGGACCTGTGAATCTTCATTAAGTGACTTGCATTTTCTGAAAGCTGTAATGTCGTGTTTCCTAATGACCGTCACGACATGCGTCACGGCTGTGCATTGAGGAAGACGCCCTCACACATTTGTTTAAATAACATGTGTTTTATGTAATGTTTTGACAGTGAATTATAGTATGTATAATTATGAACACACCTGTTATTGCCGCTGTTATTTTAGCAAGTTGTTAAATTATGACTCACATCTGTCTCGACTAAATATATCAAAATCCTTAAAAAGTGACATAATGTTGTTGTTTTATGAAAGTATTGCAGATTATGCATACCTTGAATAGCACAGCCTTTTCCTTCTAAAGAGAAATTATATTTCAATTACCCCCTTGCATAGCGTTTTACCGAATTTGTATGTAGCACTAGTCAGTTATTTCCACGCGATGTACTACTCATGAACAATGTTGAGGTCAGATTGGATATATATATAAAATTCGAGATCATGTGATAAGGTGTAAATCATATGACTGCAGGGCGGCGGGGTAGCCTAGTGGTTAAAGCTTTCGCTTCTCAACTACGAAGACCCGGGTTCGATTCCCCACATGGGTACAATGTGTGAAGCCAATTTCTGGTGTCCCCCGCCGTGATATTGCTGGAATATTGCTAAAAGTGGCGTAAAACTAAACTCACTCACTCACTCATAATGACTGCAAAAGGGGAGATAACTGGGAGTACGGGGGCAGAATGGAAAGTCGCGCTGTCAATCACCATACATTGTCGCTACGGTTTTTATAGCAGCAGCAGCGACGGCAGGAAATAGTTTGTATTCAGATGACACAGATACCCTACAGAATGAAAGTGTACTGTGTTGCATCGCTACGCAGCGTTCGAAATAATCGCCGGTCCGGAGGCCCGGGTCCCAGCACCGGTTGTTATGGTGTCGGGCCTGCAGTTTCAGGTATTTGCAGGCCCTTGTGGCCTTCAGTAAATTATCTGTCAATTTTGTTTCAACTGGAATCTTTCCCATAATATATTTTTTTATTAACGTTCGGGAATCATCCATGATCAGCATGTTACGAAAACCAGACAATTTCACTTCCTGGTATTTCAGCACTTTGCGCATAGGAATGTCAATACCAGTCTTTAACAAGTAAATTAAAACCTTCTCTCTCCGCCATAGGCTTCACTAATTGATTTTGTAGAAACGTGTGAAACTGTGTACAGTGTAGTCTATTTTGTTTTTATTGGTTTGATTTTAACAAAAGGGCCTGCAGATTTCAACCAGGGCCTGCAGATGTTAAAGCCTGCAGGCTGCATCAGGCCCTGATGGTCAACTGGCAAATTAAAGTACTGCAAACACTGTCCCTACGTGTTGTGAATGAAGAGTACTGACTGACTGAGTTTGGTTTTACGCCGCTTTTAGCAATATTCCAGCAACATCACGGCGGGGGACACCAGAAATGGGCTTCACACATTGTGCCCATGTGGGGATTCGAACCCGGGTCTTCGGCGTGACGAGCCAACGCTTTAACCACTAGACTACCCCACCGCCCCGAATGAAGAGTAGGCCTAATAAAGATATTTACAGCGGTAACAAACAACTATCGATATACCAGGTTTACCTATATGAATATAAGGGCGGTAACCGTTGTGTTCATATTTCTTTTTTCAACAAAACTCACAGAGGACTGCCAGATCCAGATATGGCTAAGCAGAGAGGAAGATACATCATTAAAGGAGTTCATCAAACGATATCTAAAGCCTGGAGGCTATAACGTCCCACGTGACCTAGGAAGGACACAGTGGCATCCCCTTTCTTAACACGGCACCAGTGTTATAAAACTCCGTGATACTAAAGTGGCTCGATAATGTGATGCTTGTATGGGTAAGTTCAGCTACTGTAAGCAACGTAAAGTACGTCTGTAACGAACTTAAAGATACCACTTACTTTAGTTCAGTCCTGTAGTTCGTTATAACGTGACGCATTTCAACTATACTACACAGGAAAACGACGAGGAAACAAACCAAAAAGATTCGCTATATCCATCAGTTCGTTACAGACGTTGTTTACGGCATCTTCGGTGAGTGAGTGAGTTTAGTTTTACGCCGCACTCAGCAATATCCCATCTATGTGGCGGCGGTCTGTAAATAATCGAGTCTGGACCAGACAATCCAGTGATCAACAGCATGAGCATCGATCTGCGCAATTGGGAACCGATGACATGTGTCAACCAAGTCAGCGAGTCTGACCACCCGATCCCGTTAGTCGCCTCTTACGACAAGCATGGGTTACTGAAGATCAATATTCTAACACGGACCTTCACGGGTACGGCATCTTGGGAATAAATAACACAAAGAGTGGATAAAGTAAATATTTGTATAGAAGTGGTAGGTTACAAGGCCCACATTCCTGCACAGTGGCAGTGTTCCGTTGTCAACATGTCTCCAACAGACTTATAACATATCCACTCATCTAAAACAAAATATCTTCAAAATGTCAAAAAGACGTTGGCACAAGGATGCATAACAATTAACACTGCTAGATTGGATACATATAACATATCAAATGAGTAACAAACATTTTTTTGTAAATATCTGCAAAATCACAAATGGTTGAATATTGCAACATCACAATAGTATATAGCGTATTCAGTCATCAATTATATTCATGAATCGGCAATAGTTTAACATGAAATATTTTTGTGGTAATAATTTCACGAATTATGAATCATTTGCAATGTTAAATTTACAAGAGAAAAGTGATTTGCCATCAGAAGATACATTTCAATTGAAACAGTGGTCAAAATGGTGTTTTAAGATTTATCGATTTCATCAAGTCTAGATAAATCCCAGCAGCCCAAGGGGAAGCATGAACAGTGGCAGGACCAGGGGCAGATAATCCTCGTACACTGGTGTGTCCTCACAGTGCTTGTTGTACACATCAAGCTGCTTCTGGCACAGAACGTGGTACGCCGCCAGGTGGGAAGCGTCCAGGTCCGAAGTAGATGGGCTCTCGTCACCGGCAGCAGCAACAGGAACGACATCTTCTCGTTAGGAGCAGCATCAATCCAACAATCCACAGAAGCAGCAGGATCATCTTCGGCAGTTTCAAAACAATTTCGGAAAAAGCATCAAGACTATGGCTTGGAGATGTTTGAAGTTCACTAGATGCACTGTCAGGAGTCTCTGTGGCAGAGGAAAACTTTGGTGAGTCGGCAGCAGAGAACAGTTCCAGGGATGCAGACGGCGTGTGGAAGTGGGAAGCTGTCCACGATGATGTAATTGAAGATGTGCAGAATGATAATGTACGTGCAGCTGGTGTGTAGAAGCATGGCGATTTATTTGGTGAATGGAAGGCAGTGGAGATTTCAGTTGTGTGACCAGTTGAGGTAGCATCCAAACCTGGACTTCCATCTTGTGCGGACTTGGGAGCATTAGCATCAGCACTGTTAATCGGACTTGGACTTTCATCTTGAAGGACTTTTAGCAGCATCCATTGTCAATTTCCATCTTGTGCAGACTTTGAGCATCAGTATTGTTTATCGGACTTGAACTTCCATCTTGTGTAGGCTTTGAAGTCGCAGCCGAGATGTGTTTGGTCTCAGTAGAGAATACAATGCCTGTGTCCATATTCCTGGCGTCTGTGGCATGTCCGTAGGAGGATACAGAGTCATGTCTGCACAACGTGTGATTCTTGGAAATGGACACGCTGTCCTTAGTTTCAGCCCAATTTACAAAACCTAATGAAGTATCTGTCTCTTTTACACTCAGCATCATGGCTGGGTCCTTGTTATTTGATGGTGAAACTTCACCGCTCCTGGTGCTTCTCAGGTTGTCCCTGCGAGATTCAGTATCACTTGACACAGCACCATTGACTTCAGGGGAGCTTGGACTCGATGTGTCTACGTTGATAGGTGTATTAACACCTACATGTCCGGTAGATTCTTCCTCTGATTCTTCATCACTGGACTCAAGGTATCTATGTGACGGCACTGTTAGTGTTAGAGTCGGAAACAGAACCTCCTTTGTGTACTCGTCCTGCAGCCGCTGGACTACTGTGGAGAGGGTGGGGCGGTCAGCTGGATTCTCAGCCATACACATGTCAGAGACGGCCAACAAGGCTGAGATGTGGGAGACTCCATGTATCTTCTTCAGGACTCGTCCTAAACTGAATACATCACATGCTGGGGTTGTCTCAGCATGGGCACACGCCTCTGGAGCTAGATGCACGCACCCCTCCATGGCCCCTTTGTAATGCACTCCTGATTTGTATGAGGCTGTTCCCATGTCACAGAACTTGACCACGGGCAGTGTTCCAGACATGTCCACTAGAATGTTGTCTGACTTGATGTCATTGATGAGAACGTCTTTCTTGTGGATCTTGTTCAGTCCACTGGAAAGCTGGCACACAATATTCAGCCAAATTAATCTGGGCATGTCTGACTCGCACATGATATCATAGAGGGTTTGGCCGGAACCAACATACTCCATCACAATGCCGTAGCCGTCCTCCTCGTTCTTCAATAGCCCGTAACAGATGGGGACGCAGCCTGTGGACTCGAGGTACATGGTGATCTTTGCCTCATTAACGATGGAGTCCAGTGTTGCCTTGTCTGTATAGGGTTCCTTTACCACCACATCTCTGCTGAGGTAAGGGGACACCGTCAGGGTAGCAGCATATACCTCCCCGAAGGACCCAGATCCGATTACAATTTCCGAGAGTCCATCTTGCTCGACCTGGTAGTGGATCATGTTTGACGGAAGAGTTGGGACTTGGGATGTGCCAAAATAGTGAAGAGACGTTGAATGAAGGTCCACACGCCCTCTTGAAGACATACTCTGATGGAAACGGCTCATTGCTGGCTAGCTTGATCTCATCATCTTGAAGAGTGGACGGACAACTGATGGCGTGAGAAGCTTGTCCGAGAGAGTCATGTGAGGGAGATAAGATGCTCAAGCTAGGAATGTCCAGGACGTCATCATCATGGCTGAAGTCCTCGTGCAGGTAGGAATGTAGAGATTCAGACCTGAAACAGTAAGAGAACGTATCATTCTCAATTAATCACTGCCATTATTTTTATACATTATGGTAATATATAATTTGTCTTTTCACTTTTTATCAACTAATCTTATGTACCTTTCATCTGAACTGTTGTCTGTGAAGTAAAGGTCTCCCGTGAAGTCGTCATCTTTGAGTGGGATTATCCTCGATCACTGTGCACTTTCCACTTCTGAAATTGAGATAGTAAATAAGAGATAAATTTGGGCACAATCAATACACATTATGATATATTTACGCTGCATCAAATATTATTACACACATTTGAATTACATCCGCAGTGTTCAAGTTGTTATATTTGCATAATATTGCCTACCTCATATTGTTGGGTTCTCTGTACCATAGGTCTCTCTCCACCTGGACAGGACTGAACTCTTCACTGTCTATCGAACGTCCCGTGTGGACCTGTGCAGTTCCTTCTGATGATCCACACTGATCCACGTGATGTTCCTGGTTCTGGATAGCTTGTCCAGGACTAGACAAGGAGCTCTTTATTAGGTTTGATAAGACACACAATCCACTGCTGTATCCCCCGCTTAGAAATGGTGTGCATATCAGCTGGAGCACGCTCTTCTTCATAGAGTCAGGAATATCACAGAGGGAATTGAAATGTGAGATGTCTTGGAACAACTCTTTGAAAGTAGTTTCTTCACCCTGAACATCATTCTGGAACACAGTATTCAACTGGCTTGCATCATTTTGCGGCGTACAATCCTTGTGTATAGCTGAAGACTCCAGGCTCAACTCAGGATCACTTTTGATTGGACTTAATGTTCTTTCATCTTTTCTTTGTGTTAGCTTTGGGTCCCTCCTGTGGCACTGCTGCAGTGTGGGATCTGTGAGATGACCTGTGTCCTCAGCTGTGTTTGCCTTTCTTTGTTCAGGTTCCAGACAAGTTTTGTCATAATCAGCATATGCTCCTTCTGCACCAGTTGGCTTCCTGTTGCGTGATCTATGGCCATCAGAGTGGCGTTTGTTCAGGTAACTGTGCCTTGGCTTATTCCTGGAAGCATCCGGACCTCTTGAGAATCCCTGGTCCGACTTGGACCCCAAAACAGAAGAGTTCGCAGGATCCACATCACAGTCGCCTTCTTCTCTGGTGTAACCGTTGTTGTTTGTGTTAAGGCAAGCTGTGTAGTTTAACTGGGCTGTTTTCGCATTATTTGGAAGCTTTTCGCAAGACTTGTCTTTGTCTTCAGGCATCGAATTTGTCCCTTCGATGACAGATCCAAACTGGACTTTGTTGAATAAGCACCTCTCCTGCTGGCGTCTGCTGTAAATGTCGTCTGAAATCCTCGCTGCACCCATCTTCCTCAGGTCCTCCCAGTATAGGTCCTCCATGACCTGGATCTGTGATCGCTCTGTCTGTTGAGCTGGTGCCCTGCTGGGACTTGCCCTGAAATACTTCATGTGTTGACTTGCCAGGTCCTTCAGGCTGGCCGAGACCATGTCGGGGTAGGTGTCCTCAAGCCAGTACCAGGGTGTGAGCGGACTCCGGGCCAGGCAGCTGCCAGGGGAGACAGTCTTCAGGGTCGGGATGGTGTTGAGGATACGCCGCCGGGTGTCCTTTGGAAATTAAGAATAGAATACAGGTATGTCGACTGTTGTTTGGCAATGCACTGATCTGTATGCTGGCGATGTGTTAATAATCCAGTCTGGGCTAGATGATCAAGTGATTGACATCATGAGGATCGATCCACACATTTGGGATACGACTACGTATAATGAAACATATCACAATGTCTGACCACTCGACCAGTTTAGTCGCCTCTTACAACATGCATAAGTGGTAAAAGCATTTCCTAGATTACAACCTAGAACGCCCAAAGATGTGTGAAATCGAGAAGAGTGCTCTTAACCCACAATATACATCATCACAGCCCTGTGACCCAAAACAATATGCATATTTTAAATAATCAATGTGTAGATAATGTTTTTCGACCCACATATCCATGTTAAACTTTAATATTTATTTCAAACAATATGATAAATACATGAACGTCGTATTTAGCTCCTTTTTAAAGTTACTGATTTTCGTACACACCAAAGCACTAAAACTCGTTAATGAACACTCACCATTTCGTCCTCTTTGAAGGTGATGTATTTGGTCGTCCGGGCGTGTACTTCAGCGGAAGTCCGTCCAGTTTGTCTCTGAGCAGACGACATTTTTCAGCCCGACTCCACTGGGGTCGAACTGGCGGTCGTGACTTTGAGGGGTGGACTTTGGTTGGTACCGCCTGAGGATATGGTAGAAGAACGCGTACCTTGGATGATCCACTTTCATTATTAATGATATCTCGATTTGGTCCAGACTCCTTTCGAGTTGAGTTTAGTGGATTTGTTGGCGTTGGTGGCGCTGGCTCCAGGGGTTTTGCATGTCCGGGCAAGAATATCACTGCCGTGGCTTGGATCCCATCGTAAAATGCGACGAATGGGAGCCTAGTCAGATAGAGTTGGTTGGAGGGAAGGGTCGCCAGAGATTGAAGGTCATCTGGATCCAATGTGGCTAACATCGCTTGGTTGTAGGCGGTAGAGAGACTAAGCTCACGCTTGAGTAGAGCCAAGTTTAAGAGGCTTGAGAGTTGGTCGTCCAGGAAATCTTTGTAATCAAGCACGAGTGTGCGTGCCATGGACAGGAATTCGTCATCTATATTTCCGAATCCGACCAGAGGTACATGTGTTAGTGGCTGATGTTTCAGGCGTTGTGCACTACGTGGCATGACTGCGCTTGTCGTAGCTACGCTCCCTTCGTAGAATGCGACACATGGATTTCTCTTGTTCACAATTCCTACCTTGCTTCGTGGGCTTGATGTCAGTGCATTAATCTGCTCTACAGCTCCTGGTAGGAATATCTGTGCCGTAGCTACGACTCCATCGTAAAGTGCAACAAATGGTCCTTCCTGTTTCTCAAGTTTTCCGTCTTTTTCCGTCTGTTTTGAGAACTCTTCAGATAATCTTCATCACCAGGTAAGAATATTACTGCCGTGTCTGCAATCACATCGTAAAATGCGACAAAGGGTGGTTCTTCTTTCTTGAGTCAGTCTGTCAGATACAGTGGGCTGGAAGGAATGGTCGCCACAGCTTTAACTTCCTCTGGAACCAATGAGGCCAGCATCATTTGGTTGTAGGAGGTAGAGAGACTCAGCTCACGCTTGAGTAGAGCTAGGTTTAGTAGGCTTGAGAGTTGGTCCTCCAGGAATTCTTTGTAATCAAGCACCAGTGTGCGTGCCATGGACAGGAATTCTTCGTTATATGTGATTTCTGGATCCTGAAAACTCTTGAATCCGACCAGTTGCACCTGTTTCGATGGCTGATGCTGCAGGTGTTGTCCATTACGAGGCAAGACTTCCTGTGTCGAAGCCACGCTGTCGTCGTGAAATGCGACAATGGGTCTTGAGATTCCCACCAGTTCTTCCATGTTCCAAACACAGGAAATCTCCATGTCTACAGCTCCTGGTAAGAATATTGCCGCCGTGGATGTATTACCATCGTAAAATGCGACAAAGGGACTTTCCTGAGCCTTACTCCAAGATTGGAGGGAAGGCGATGTGTTGATTTCGACAATTTCAGTCTTCATCATGCGATGATGAGAGAACGCCTTGTTGGCAGAAAGACCGCATCAACAATGGCGTGACGTCACAAACGTATCCTAGTTGAGTTCCTCGCGTTTCAATCACGTCAAACAAGACTGCACATATTTTCCATAAAAACACATTGAAGTTAATAAAAGGAATGCATTGTAAGGCCGATGTCTGATGATAATCATATTCATTGATATGTACATGCATCATATTCAACAATGTTGTAATTAATGTTGGAAAGTTGATATATTGAGAATCTCATTACGTCATAATGTTATGACGTCACAGCGCAGCGAAAAGCGTACGTTATCGTAAAGGGAGCCGGGAACTCTAGACTGGTTACCGCGTGTTGCTTGGACAGTCGAGAAAGTGTAAAGACACCAAACATTGGATTCGGGTACCATTTTACCCACTTTGCAGTCCAGTCCCTCGTACTGTTAAACTTGACTCACGCCTTGTTCTCGCAGTAGCACTTTTAGTGCTGAGCTCAGTGTAGACAGGACTCCAGTTTGGCGGACCGTTGATCTGTTAATCATGATTCAGCCACGGGTTATTTTATTTTTAAGAAATGTCCCCCCTCTTTTAAACACAAGCAATGAAGTGTATCAATTACACTTGTTTTGAAATTCATGTTATTTAAAGTAACATATATTGTTAACGGAAACTTTGTCAGTCCATTTTTGGACCGCAAACGATCATGTTTTTTAAAATTTTATTTTGCTGGTTTAACGCCGCAGTCTGCAACATTCAAGCTACATGGCGGGGGGTCTGTAAATAATCGAGTCTGGACCAGACAATCCAGTGATCAACAGCTTGAGCATCGATCTGCGCATTTAGGTTACGATGACATGTCAGAGAACCTGACCACCCGATCCCGTTAGTCCCCTCTTACGACATGCATGGGTTACTGAATATCAGTTCTAACCCGGATCCTCACTGGTTTTAAACACATGTAATAATGTAGATTAAGTATATTAGTTTGAAATTCATATAATTGAAAGTAATGCATATTTTAAATGGGAACCTTGTCACTCTATAGGATATTTTGGGACTGCGAATGACCAAGACACGATAGCTCTATCCACGAGTCACCACGTAAGACTTTCGATTTGTGAGTTTGAACCTTCACTGAGTGAGTGGCGAACTGTCTGGAGGTCGGAGCGTAAATGTAAGACCATCGTAATGCCATAAACCCTTTGTGGAACTTATACCTGTTGACTGACTGACTGAGTTTAATTTTACGCCGCTTTTAGCAATATTCCAGCAATATCACGGCAGGGGACACCAGAAATGGGCTTCACACATTGTACCCATGAGGGGAATCGAACCCGGGTCTTCAGCGTGACGAGTGGATTCTTTAACCACTAAACTACCCCACCGGCCCTATACCTGTTGAAGTGGGGCGTGGGGGGTAAATATTGGCAACAAACAGTGAATTCTCTGAAGGGCATTTAGAAGTGATGAACATGATTCGTGATTCTTTAAGTGTTAAACACGACTTTTCGGTGTTGATTCTTATTCTGAATCAATGAACGGGTGAATGAGCAACTACGATGTCTTTGAATTACCCTCATTCACTTGAAGAATTTAGTAATAATTAACCGAAACGTCATGTGTGAAAAACTACGGTGAGTGAGTTTATTTCCGCTTTTAGCAATATTCCAGCAATATCACGGCGGGGTCACAAGAAATGGACTCCACACATTGTACCCATGTGGGGAATAGAACCCGGGTTTTCGGAGTGACGAACGAACGCTTTTAAAACTATGGTACCCCACCGCCACGTAAATAATAGGGAACGGAAAACTAAAGAAACTACCAGGGAACATTAAAGAATAGTTATCAAACACGGTGTTTTTCGTGAGAGTCTGAATTATTATGTCATACTTTGGTTCCGAGTTAGAATTGGTCCTCAGTAACTCATTCTTGTCGTAAGACTGACTGACTGACTGAGTTTGGTTTTACGCCGCTTTTAGCAATATTCCAGCAACATCACGGCGGGGGACACCAGAAATGGGCTTCACACATTGTGCCCATGTGGGGATTCGAACCCGGGTCTTCGGCGTGACGAGCCAACGCTTTAACCACTAGGCTACCCCTACGCCCCCTCTTGTCGTAAGAGGTGACTAAAGGGATCGGTGGCAGGCGCGTAGCAAGCCAATTTTTTCGTGTAAGCCCGATAGGTTGCAAAGCTTCATATTTAGATAGGATTGAGGGCTTGCCCAACATTTTTATCAATAATCATGTGTAAGCCCGGGCTTTTTATTATAATGGTGGCTACGCCCTTGGGTGGTCAGGCTCGCTGACTTGGTTGACATATGTCATCGTATCTCAATTGCGTAGATCGATGCCCATGCTGTTGATCACTGGATTGTCTGGTCCAGACTCGATTATTTACAGACCGCCTCCATATACATCGTGTAGCTGGAATATTGCTGAGTGCGGCGTAAAACTAAACTCACTCACTCACACTCTGGCACTGGTAGAAGGAAGCTTCCTTTGAAAACTTCTGGTGTCACCTGCCATGATATTGCTGGAATATTGCTAAATGCGGCGTAAAACAAAACTCACTCACTCATTCCTTCGGAAACATCCTGGGTGATGTTGTGAGTTTCATAAACTGGATGAATCGGCAGTAAAAGATCGTTCGTGGTCACGTGATCCTTTAATGTGGGAGAGTCATGTGATTGACAAGATGGCGGCTTCCAGGACGGGAAGCGTTGCATTTTGTCTGATCCTACAGTTCATCTTGATCACGGTTCATGGGAAGTCTCCGAATATTGTGTTTGTCCTGACAGATGATCAAGATGTTGCAATTGGTGGACAGGTTTGTGTGACACCACTTTCTTTTGTAGATTGCCTTCACCGGTAGCTTTGTGCGATACAGCGGCATGCATACAGGCACTTTTTAAATTCTTTTATTTACAAGTAGCATTTCTAAATTCTATTTCATATCATGATCACAAGAAGAAACCGTTTGATGGTATGCATCAGCTCGTCGCCAATCTCTGTAGTCTCACATCTTATTTACTCAGAAATAATCGCCCCATATGTCATCAAGACGAGCATGTGAAAAGCAAAATGAAAAATAACAGTTTCATGTCATATCCTGTTATACAATTTGAACCATGTTTTTGTCTACTATGCGATTGTCTCCCTTACATACTGAATCTGATGAACAATGTTTGTCCAAGATAAATAAGCTCTAAGGCTATTCATGCCTCACTATTGTCATTATTTTAAGGTTCAGTCTCAGCAGAGACCATATAATATGGTCTCTGGTCTCAGATAAAACCTAAAATGGAACAGCTGTGAAAATATCCCAGATTTTAAGTATAACTAGACCAAATGTGTTAAAAACAAATACAGTAAGCTTAATTGTTATAACGGGGTCAAAGGGACCACTATAATTATAGTTAGTTATAACCGTAGTTTAATTTTTGTTATACACATTTCAACCATAAGATACACCACATGTTGGGGACTGAAGAAATAGTTTGTTATACCTGTGAGTTCATTATAAGAGTGTCTGTTATAAACATTTACTATAATAAGAATACATTTCCTGTCAACACAGACTATTTTACATGTTACAGTATTGTTTTGCCTCTTATATGATTATCTCCCACACCTACGCATTCATAAACTCTGATGGAAACCCATGGAAATAATATACCAGTTCTGAGGAGATACACTGCAATATGTAATGTTTAAAAAGTGAAATGCAGTATACCGGTAACACTGTGTAAACTGGGGTAAAAGATCTGATTTTAATGAGAATAATTTTTTATGAAGTTTTTAATTCCAGACACCTATGGTGAAAACAAAGAAATTGGTCGGGGACCAAGGAATTATATTCAACAACATGGTAAGTAATTGTTTCGTTTCAAGAAAATGTTTTTACTGTAATCTAAGTCAATATTTTTTCTTGTGTTACATAAAAGTCTTCTTAAATTTTGAGAATATTATTTTTAAAATCTGTATCATTATTTAACCTCCCATGTTCGGTTCCTGTCAGAGCATCTCTGTTATGGACGTACATTCTTCCGTTCCCCTCAGTTTGTGACAAGTCCGCTGTGCTGCCCAAGTCGTTCCAGCATCTTCACAGGAAAGTTTGTCCACAATCATGGCGTCCAAAACAACAGCATCACAGGCGGCTGCAGCAGCACAACATGGCAAACGAAGCAGGAGACAACAGCGTTTCCCACCCACCTCAAGCAGCAAGGATACACCAGTTTCTTTGCAGGAAAATATCTAAATGATGTGAGTTTTTGCCAGAATGTAATTGTCTTATCAGTATATACGTTAGTGAATTTTACTGACTACATACGTATTAAAACATGAGAGGATTAGGTCATACAGATTGATAATTGTTACCTAATATTTATTGATTATTGATATATGTTCCAACAGAAACTTTGAACAAAAATGCCCCCCAAATCTGAAAAGAAATGAACATATTTCACATCGACAGTGAATGGCGGCATATTTATGCATGGCTGACAAACAAAACAGCATCCTGAACATAATTTTGAAGCAGCCCATTGTATATAAACCTCACTTTGTGTATCGTGTGAGTAAATTAAACAGTATTTATAAATTCCAAGCTAGACAGCCGGACTGGTAACTTTAAAAAATTACCAGTCCGGATACAAACTTGCCTGTCCGGTTTTCAACAATAAAAAACAAACCAAATCAGGTTTCTGAATACTTTACTGTTTGTAGGCATCGCAATGAACTACATTACACTTAAAGGCAATGCACCGAGTTTAGGTAAACTGAAAGTACACGTTTTGTGATTGGTTATCGTAACATGAACTGTCCAATCGTAAGTAGTTTAACAAAATCATCATAATACCATGAACACTTCAAACTGATGACAAGAGAACCTGTCTGATATTATGAAATATTTACTGTTAGGGGTAAAAATATCTACCAGACCACCGGACAGGCTACTTTTGAAATTTGACCTTCCGAGATGAAAATAGACCGTTCCGGACGGTCGGGCAGGCGGGAATTTTAAATGCTGAATTAAAGTTATATTTCATCACAATAGTTTAGTGCAATATTGTCAACAACACTATTTTCATGTCAGTAATCATTATAATTCTTTCCACTTTAGCACAAATGAGAGTAGCATATAGAACAGTGTTGCACTGTCAATCATGACATAACAATAACAAGTACATGCTAACTCAGATTTTAGAATCTATTTGTTTTGATTTGAGTTGAGCTTGAATTAGGTTTAATGTCCTGTTAAAGATTATTGCATTTAAATATTGACTCTATAGTGTGTGCTTGCATGCATGTTCCTGTCTTAGTCTGGCTTTATTGTGGTAGCCCAGTGAGATACCATACTGAAGTTTGACACAGATACCCCACCCAGATACCCCACTCAGACACAGTGTACTGTCGCAAAACCATGTTCCTGAGGCAAGGGGGGTAACTCCACAATTCCAGCCATGTTTAGTGAATAGTCAGTTATCTCCCTTCCCTCAAATACTGTCTTTTAGCTGGCCATTCCTTGTTATTTCCTTCAGGAAGGCAACTACCAGAACTATTTTTTGCCAGCTTTTGCACAGCCGGGGATTGAACAGAGGAGAATCTAAAAAATGATTTTTTAAGGTCTTCGTAATTAGTGTTACCTGTTTTCTTTCAGTACAATGTTGAATATGAGGAAAATATTCCAATTTGCAGAATCCACATTAAGGTCTTTGATAAATACAAGATATATTTACCTGCAAACAGGGTGTTTTCATTCCTGTACGACGAAATACAATAGAAGACTAATCGTTGTTTGGTTTCTAGTACGGACTAAAGGGAGCAGGTGGAGTGCAACATGTGCCCCCAGGATGGGACTGGTGGAATGGTCTGGTATGTGTTTGTGTGTTTGTTTGTTTGTTTGTTAATGGCACACTCAGTCTTTACCTGTGAATCCATAGATCAGTATTGTTAGCAACAATCAGTTTTGACATCATTAGGGGATGTTGATGTGTTACGGAGTCACAGAGTCAGTGATTAAGGTTTTATGCTGCTTTTAGCAATATTCCAGTAATATCACGCCAGGGAATCAATTCAAAGAGTGAGTAAGTAAGGTTTTATAATACAGGTATGACGATATATCGTAGTATTGAAAATCGTGATACTTTATCTAACGATAAATATATCGATACTTTTTTTCGTATTGTGATATGCATCGTTGACCTTAAAATTGTTAATTTTTACTGGAAATTGACAGTTATTTAAAAATATACACTGTTACTTGCTATCAAAATACACTTTTAAAAGAAAATAACTAATGATAGCATATCGTGATATGCATCGAATCGTATTGTTCCAAGATATCGTGATACGTATCGTTTCGTGAAATTTCTGTATCGTCACACCTCTATTTTATACCCCTTTAAGCAATTTTCCAGCTATATAATGCCAGGGAATACAATCTCAGAGTGAGTGAGTGAGTAAGCTTTTATGCCGCTTTTAGTTATAGCAACATTGCAGCTATATTATGCTATTGAATCAAGCCACAGAATCTGATCACCCAATTGGTCAATTAGTGTGATCGATCAGGTTTGCTGGTGACCAATTCACACCAGAATATTCAAGGGATGGTCAAGAGGAGGTGGGTGAGGATGGACTCCCTCCACTGCGGTAGTATTCCTAATCTCAAAATGCTATTCATTCTAACGTGTCTGTCTGACAACTGTGAGGGATCTTGTAGGGAGAGAATACTGTGGAATGGCTAATTGAGAGTACTCACTAAAACCAGAATGCTTGTGAACATTGTAAAAGCTGCATGTTTATCCCCAGGTGGGCAACTCAGTGTACTACAACTACACACTGTCGATAAACGGAACTGCCCAGGAGCACGGACAGAGCTACAAGACTGACTATCTCACTGACCTCATTGTAAGTGTACCTAAAGACCAATTTAAACATTATACGTAATATCTGCATTTACCTGAATGCCAACATGCATTTACCTGGCCCCATCATCAGGTAAAACTTCATCAGTTTTACCTGATGATCGGGTCAAAACAAGCCCTGAAACGTTGTACTCAAGAATAAAAAGAAGATGTAACCCAGAAAAATCTCTATGTTCATCTAATAGCATCTTTTAAAATGCCAATCAAGCAACTTTAATGTTGAAATAGCTGCATGTATCTGTTATGTGCGTTATCTCCCTTGATGAAAGGTGAGGTGAAATGGGGTTTAACGTCGTACTTAAGAATATTTTGCTCATATGACGACGTGCATGCGTGGGTATAACTTCTCTCTGGACGGACGCTCTAACCACTACACTGCGGAGGCGGTCTCCCTTGAAGAAACTGTGTATTGTATTCTATTGTCATAAATACCCTGGACCTCCATCATTCACTACAATATCAAATGATTGATTCATCTTTTGTATTTCCTCATCAGCTTTGTAGCTATGATATTTAACTGGTTCTTATTTAGATTTCATTCTGATGAGAACATATTAAGGCAATGCTTTAAAACAAAATTGGTTTGTGAGTCTGAGATCCACCTTTTTCAAATTTGGAAAAAGCAAAACTGCAAAACTCATTTGGCATGCTACACAATAAATTCATTCATTTACAATTCCGGACAATTACAACCAACTTAAAATTACATCAGTATTAACCACTTTGCAAATACTGAAAACAATGTAATATTTGGCAGAAATTATCCATTTAGAATGAAGCAAAAATTGTAAATCTGAGTTAAAATGACTCAAACACAGCAAAACTAAATTTCCACTGATCATGACATTTTGCGAAACATTTGTGAAGAGGACTTCTTTATTCTTCAGCACAGACAAGCAATGGCATTCCTCCAGGAGCAAAACAAGGACTCTACGCCGTTCTTCATGATGTTGTCTACCCCTGCCTGCCACGCCCCCTTCACCCCAGCCCCACAGTACAGTCAGAACTTCTCTGATCACACCGGCCCCAGGAATGGCAGTTTCAACAAACATGGGAATGTAAGGCTACAAAATGATTTACCTTGAGTTACTGTGGTTACTGTGGTTACTGTGGTTACTGTGAGCCCTCATCCTTAAAAAAAATGCCTGCATTCTCCCAAACCATAGCAGTTTTTGTTTTAATCTATAATAAGTTTGCTTTTGACAAATAAAGGGCATATATTTGTGGGTAAGTCTTTGGAGAAAAGATTGATCTGAAGATTTGAAAATTATGTATAATTTGTAGACAGTAGGAGATGTAGAAGTGAACGGAGCTGAAAAGTGAGTGAGTGAGTGGGTGGGGTGCGAGTGAGCGAATACATTTTTAAACAAGTTGTAGTCAAACATCTTGGTTATTTAGTTTTGACTGTTACAGAACAAGCACTGGTTGATTGAGCAGGCCCAAACACCCATGCCAAATGACACAATTGCCAACATCGACAACGTATTCCGAAACAGGTAAGCATCATCACATCTATATATTCAACATCGTAATGTAAAATCTTCCTCTACTTGATAAGGATATATAATCCCAAATCTGATAAGTGATTTAGAGATTATTTGCTAAGTGTTTCTAATTGCGAATATTATATATGAATGTTGAGAATATAGAGAGAATTATTTCAGGCGAACAAGAGTAGATACTTTTTATTATCATCTAATGGAGGGTGTTATCGGTGCAATAAAGCAATCTGATAAACTTGGTATCCAAATCTGATAACTATGCAAATTACGTCAATCCACGAACTACTTTCACAAAACTCCATACACGCCATGCGAATCCTACAACGTTAACATTTCATTGATGACGTCGTCGCGTGTTTACGTTGTTTGTTAACAAACATGTCTGTCCCCATTCTCAAAATTGGTGATTCTGTAAGAATTGATGACAGGTTCTGGAGTCGTTACTGCAGTAATTGACTTTGGAAAACATGAAACGGAGTACTTTGTTCAAATTGAAGGTACGGGTTATGAGGCACCACTGAAAGGCAATAGTATAAGAAAGGTACCAACCAAGGATTTCGATCTATCGATCACAATACAGACGACAAATCGATTCCGTTAGATATCAGAAACTGATGGGGTGATTACATGCAATGAAAATAGAAACACTGCCAGGAAAACCCTGCCCGGTTTTGTTGTTCCTTTTAGACAGAAAGATCTTAAGCATGAGTTTTGTTCTTTTATTTTAGGCATGAGTTCTGTTTGCACTCTATTAGAGACTAGTCACAACCATATGTCGCCATCGTGAACGACCTTCACCCTGGTGTACCGATAAGTATTCTTACGCGAATGCTCGATTCTCTTCAAATACATTCACGTACGAGTTGCTTCTTTTTTTAGAGTAATTTTAAGTATGACATTATATGATATAGAGATTATTAACCGAGTGTGTTTCTGTATCATTAATATCATATATTAGGAATAAAAATTATGTATTATGCTCGCCAAAGGCTCGCATGATACAATTTATATTCCTAATATATTATATTAATGATACGGAAACACACGAGGTTAATAATCTCTATTTATGTGTATAATTGAATGTGGAATATATCTATTTTATGAAATAACCAGTCTGAAAGCCAAGACTGAATCAGCATTGCAGAAAATAAGTTAGAGGAGAGACTTGTATTGTGTAATAATAATCAAAAACTATGTGTTAGTCAAGTACTACATGTGTGTGTGCCTGTTATATATATGTGTTAAATATTTACTGTCATCTACTCAGGTGGAGGACGTTGTTGTCAGTTGAGGACATGGTGGAGGACGTGGTCTCCACGCTGGACAAGAAAGGGCTGTTGGACAATACCTATGTCTTTTTTTCTTCAGACAATGGCTTCCATCTTGGTAAAATAACAAATACTATCTATTTCGGTTGCATAATTAATAAAGTGTGATATTCCTGATAATAAGTTAGTTCCTGAGTTGCTTTTCTTGTCAGATTCCCTTAATCTTGTTCAGTTATTATGTATATGCTCTTTTGATCTTGTAATCTAAGGCATCTCAACTCTTGTTGCACCCTTTCTAGCCAAGATCTGCTGGTCATTAGTTTGAATCCAATATTCATTCCAGTTATAATCCTTGGTTTCAGGTCTAAATGTACACATCCTTTGTCACTTAAGCTCCCTCCCCATTCCCTCCCTCCCTCCCTACCTCCTTCTCTCCCTCCCTCACTCACTCACCCATCACTCACCACTCACCATCACTCGCCACTCACTCACTCACTTCCCCACTCATTTCCCCATCACTCACTCACTCACTCACCCACCATCACCAATCGGCCACTCACTCACTCACTCCTCTCACTCGGCCTCACCCACCATCACTCGCTCGCTTCACTCTCACTCACTCCTCACTCACTCACTCACTCCTCTCACCCACTCACTTGCTTGCTCACCCATCATCACTCGCCTCTCTCTCTCCTCCTCTCACTCACTCACCCACCATCACTCGCTCACTCACTCACTCCTCTCACTCACTCACTCACTCGCCACTTACTTTTTCCAGGGCAGTTTTCCATGCCGGGTGACAAACGGCAGTTATATGACTTTGACATCCGTGTTCCGCTGATGGTGCGAGGTCCAGGGATCAAGGGAGGCCAAGTGAGAGACGTAAGTGGAGTGGTGCCCCTTAGTTGTGCCAGCATCTGAAATACCATTTCATCAACTGACTGACTGACTGAGTTTGGTTTTACGCCGCTTTTAGCAATATTCCAGCAACATCACGGCGGGGGACACCAGAAATGGGCTTAACACATTGTGCCCATGTGGGGATTCGAACTCGGGTCTTCGGCGTGACGAGCCAACGCTTTAACCATTAGGCTACCCCACCGCCCCCCATTTCATCAAAGTTGGAAATGTCCAGGATTTCTGGGAGCTTCCACAACCAGCTGACACCCTGTGATGTGACATGAAAAGCCACATGAAACTCAAGTCACTCACTCACTCATCACAGTTCATATTGAGATTTACAGCCCGCACACATCAGCCCAGACATTTATTGGTTTCAGGAAGTGGTTCTCAACATAGACTTGGCCCCAACATTCATCGAACTGACTGGCAGCCAAGTTCCCGATGATGTCGATGGCTTGTCCCTTGTTCCAATTTTGGAAAAACCTGCGAACAAGTCTGACCCAACCTTCAGGACAAAGTTCCTAGTGGAACATTATGGGGAATCACAACCCGAAATCCCATTCTGTCCCCAGTACAAAGATCAAGGCCTCTCAGTAAGTATTAACAATGGTACAGGGATGATGGCTATTCATCACGATGGCCTCCAAGATGAGATCAGCATCCGCATGCTCCAGTCTCGTTAAAATCAGATCTTAGTTCTCATCACCCCTGTATAAAGTTGTGGACATCCCGTTACGTGTAGTTCTCATCACCCCTATATAAAGTTGTGGACATCCCGTTACGTGTAGTTCTCATCACCCCTATATAAAGTTGTGGACATCCCGTTACGTGTAGTTCTCATCACCCCTATATAAAGTTGTGGACATCCCATTACGTGTAGTTCTCATCACCCTATATAAAGTTGTGGACATCCCGTTACGTGTAGTTCTCATCACCCGATATAAAGTTGTGGACATCCCGTTACGTGTAGTTCTCATCACCCTGTATAAAGTTGTGGACATCCCGTTACGTGTAGTTCTCATCACCCCTATATAAAGTTGTGGACATCCCGTTACGTGTAGTTCTCATCACCCCTATATAAAGTTGTGGACATCCCGTTACGTGTAGTTCTCATCACCCTATATAAAGTTGTGGACATCCCGTTACGTGTAGTTCTCATCACCCGATATAAAGTTGTGGACATCCCGTTACATGTAGTTCTCATCACCCCTATATAAAGTTGTGGACATCCCGTTACGTGTAGTTCTCATCACCCCGATATAAAGTTGTGGACATCCCGTTACGTGTAGTTATCATCACCCCGATAGAAAGTTGTGGACATCCCGTTACGTGTAGTTCTCATCAACCCTATATGAAGTTGTGGACATCCCGTTACGTGTAGTTCTCATCACCCCGATATAAAGTTGTGGACATCCCGTTACGTGTAGTTCTCATCACCCCTATATAAAGTTGTGGACATCCCGTTACGTGTAGTTCTCATCACCCCGATATAAAGTTGTGGACATCCCGTTACGTGTAGTTCTCATCACCCCTATATAAAGTTGTGGACATCCCGTTACGTGTAGTTCTCATCACCCCTATATAAAGTTGTGGACATCCCGTTACGTGTAGTTCTCATCACCCTATATAAAGTTGTGGACATCCCGTTACGTGTAGTTCTCATCACCCCTATATAAAGTTGTGGACATCCCGTTACGTGTAGTTCTCATCACCCCTATATAAAGTTGTGGACATCCCGTTACGTGTAGTTCTCATCACCCCTATATAAAGTTGTGGACATCCCGTTACGTGTAGTTCTCATCACCCCTATATAAAGTTGTGGACATCCCGTTACATGTAGTTCTCATCACCCCTATATAAAGTTGTGGACATCCCGTTACGTGTAGTTCTCATCACCCCTATATAAAGTTGTGGACATTCCGCTACGTGTAGTTCTCATCACCCCTATATAAAGTTGTGGACATCCCGTTACGTGTAGTTCTCATCACCCTATATAAAGTTGTGGACATCCCGTTACGTGTAGTTCTCATCACCCTATATAAAGTTGTGGACATCCCGTTACGTGTAGTTCTCATCACCCCTATATACATTTGTGGACATCCCGTTACGTGTAGTTCTCATCACCCCTATATAAAGTTGTGGACATCCCGTTACGTGTAGTTCTCATCACCCCTATATAAAGTTGTGGACATCCCGTTACGTGTAGTTCTCATCACCCCTATATAAAGTTGTGGACATCCCGTTACGTGTAGTTCTCATCACCCCTATATAAAGTTGTGGACATCCCGTTACGTGTAGTTCTCATCACCCCGATATAAAGCTGTGGACATCCCGTTACGTGTAGTTCTCATCACCCCTATATAAAGTTGTGGACATCCCGTTACGTGTAGTTCTCATAACCCCGATATAAAGTTGTGGACATCCCGTTACATGTAGTTCTCATCACCCCGATATAAAGTTGTGGACATCCCGTTATGTGTAGTTCTCATCACCCCTATATAAAGTTGTGGACATCCCGTTACGTGTAGTTCTCATCACCCCTATATACATTTGTGGACATCCCGTTACATGTAGTTCTCATCACCCCTATATAAAGTTGTGGACATCCCGTTACGTGTAGTTCTCATCACCCCGATATAAAGTTGTGGACATCCCGTTACGTGTAGTTCTCATCACCCCTATATAAAGTTGTGGACATCCCGTTTACGTGTAGTTCTCATCACCCCTATATAAAGTTGTGGACATCCCGTTCGTGTAGTTCTCATCACCCCTATATAAAGTTGTGGACATCCCGTTACGTGTAGTTCTCATCACCCTATATACATTTGTGGACATCCCGTTACGTGTAGTTCTCATCACCCTATATAAAGTTGTGGACATCCCGTTACGTGTAGTTCTCATCACCCTATATAAAGTTGTGGACATCCCGTTACGTGTAGTTCTCATCACCCCTATATAAAGTTGTGGACATCCGTTACGTGTAGTTCTCATCACCCCTATATAAAGTTGTGGACATCCCGTTCGCGTGTAGTTCTCATCACCCGATATAAAGCTGTGGACATCCCGTTACGTGTAGTTCTCATCACCCCTATATAAAGTTGTGGACATCCCGTTCGTGTAGTTCTCATAACCCGATATAAAGTTGTGGACATCCCGTTACATGTAGTTCTCATCACCCGATATAAAGTTGTGGACATCCCGTTATGTGTAGTTCTCATCACCCGATATAAAGTTGTGGACATCCCGTTACGTGTAGTTCTCATCACCCCTATATACATTTGTGGACATCCGTTACATGTAGTTCTCATCACCCCTATATAAAGTTGTGGACATCCCGTTACGTGTAGTTCTCATCACCCGATATAAAGTTGTGGACATCCCGTTACGTGTAGTTCTCATCACCCTATATAAAGTTGTGGACATCCCGTTACGTGTAGTTCTCATCACCCTATATAAAGTTGTGGACATCCCGTTACGTGTAGTTCTCATCACCCCTATATAAAGTTGTGGACATCCCGTTACGTGTAGTTCTCATCACCCCTATATAAAGTTGTGGACATCCTGTTACGTGTAGTTCTCATCACCCCTATATAAAGTTGTGGACACGTCACATCCCGTTACGTGTAGTTCTCATCACCCCTATATAAAGTTGTGGACATCCCATTACGTGTAGTTCTCATCACCCCTATATAAAGTTGTGGACATCCCGTTAGGTGTAGTTCTCATCACCCCTATATAAAGTTGTGGACATCCCGTTACGTGTAACGTCAGAGCAAACTTTCTGCAGACTAATCATACCGTGGCTTACCAGATCAGATAAATGACAGTTTGAATGTGTTTTCTAATCATGGAATAGAGACAAGGCTGTTGCAAATACAGTGGTCCTATGCACATTAACTAAAGCTAACTCCGTCAAAGTCATTCCATGGGAGATTCATTTCAATGGAAGACACTTTCCATAGCCCATGGGTGATGGTGAAATTGGGTTTAATGTCGTGCTTGAGAATATTTCGCTCATATGACGACGTGCATGCGTGTGTATGTGTATGTGCGGCTGCTTGTACTAGCCCAGACTTAAGCTGGTTTTATAGTGCTAGCCCACTGAGATACCATGCCGCAGTGAAGCATGAATACCCCACTCAGACACATTGTACTGACTCCGAGCCGACCAGTCCTTGTTGTACCCATTAATGCCGAGAGCCAGGCAGGAACCAACAAGTACCATATTTTAACGTCTTTTTGTATGACGCAGCTGGGGATCGAACCCGCGACCTTCCGTTCTCCGGGCGGACGCTCTAACCACTACACCACGGAGGCGGTCAATAGCCCATGGGGGACAGTGGTGTAGCCTAGTGGTTAAAGCGTCTGCTTGTCACACTGAAAACCCGGGTTCGATTTCCCACATGGGTACAATGTATGAAGACGATTTCTGGTGTCCCCCGCCATTATTTTGCTGGAATATTGCTAAAAGCGGCATAAAACCTAACTCACTCACTCCATAGTCCGTGGGAAGAACAGCTATACAATCACAGCTATTCATTAGACACCCAAGAATGTTCTTTTGTTCAGTTTTTATGTTTTGATTTGAGAACTTTGTGAAAATATTTTTCAAAACGTCTGAAATGCAAGTGACCAGATTGAAACTATATATCTCAGGAAAACTGCTTTCTGATTGGCTAATGTTGACTTATTGTTAGTCATTTCATTGGTGGGGTCAAAGTCCACAAACTGTTGCTCTAACTTGAAATGTCCTCAGATCTGTGTGTAGTGGTAGCAGGAACTTAAATTGAACTTAATGAGATTGCCACTCATTCAAAACAGTCGAAGTGCTAACTCTGGTATCTAGACATAGGAGGTCATTAGTAGGCCAGTAGTCTGAACTGCTGAATTTAGCTGTGTAGAGTTGCTTCCCTTGGCAGATATTCAGTCTGTTGTAGATGCAATCTATTGTAATCAATATATTTTTGGGAAAATATTGGTTCCTTTTTTAAATGTTCTATAGGTAGGGAAAATACATTCCAAGTGTTTTATTTGTTTACAAAATGTATGTATACTAGTGGTGGTCCGATTAATTGAAATAATCGAAGATTGGTCGCAGTGACCAAGCAATCGATCATGTTTTCTCATAATCGAACACAAACAATTCTGGAACACTTGTTTTCATAAACAATATTTTTCACAAGGTTGGTTTTGTCTGTTACATTTCATAAGCACTACAAGCTCGTTTCAAGTCATGATTGAATTTATCTTAAAGATGTTCCTGACATACTAGTCATCCTTTAAAGATGTGAAATTTTGCCAAAAAACCCAAAAGAACTACATGTTTTGTCCATATTTTTATGTGCATTAACAAATTTCATTAATGACACTAACCAATTTTTTTCGATGATTGATCGGTTGTAATAAACCAATCATCAATTATGAGATTTTAACCAATTCCAAACACTAATGTATACTGAAACGTTGTTTCCCCAGATATGCAGCCACCACTGTGTGTGTGAGGACTCCACCAACAACACGTATGCCTGTGTGGTGGAGATGTTACGGACCACGCACTACAAGTACTGTGTGATGCAAGACACAGTGGTATGTACACTCACTCACTCACTCACTCACTCACTCACACATCATTTCTCCTGGGAGACCATAACTCCTGGATAAATCATGGATAAACTTAATTTTATGTAACATATGTTATATTTGGGATTACAATTTCTCAGTAAAGTACAGATTCTAGTAATTTGGTTAGGTTGAGTCCCATCCAGGATTCGAACCCACACCATCAGAGCCAGGCATCTAATCACCAGCACAGAAAGTCAGCCATCTAACCCACTCAGCCACAGCTACTTCCACATAATGTTCACCACTTTCTAAAAACAGCATTGTGTATTCGTTGATCTTTATCCTTGTTTTATCAATCTCATCAATCAATTTAAAATGATATCTTTGTGCTTGTTTCTGCTACACAAAAAAAGTTGACATACATACGTTTACAGATCATGTGAGGATGACTTTCATTTGACCAGTCAGAGCATTGTTACTAGAGCTAAAGGGGTCGTTGTTGGCACAGGTCCTACAGATGTTTCTGTATACAAAATCTGTACACGAAATCCAAATACAGAAATATACTCTTGTACCCATCCAATCAGTACCATTTTCTTGATCGGAACTCTCAATCTCATACTTATGTATGAGATGCATTTGACTGCGTTAGGTTAGAAACGAGTGACAATATTTTGTGATTTAGAGTCCCACTTGTATTCAGGAGAAAGGGAACTATAACATGAACCGGTTTTGGTTTTGGGTTGAGGAATATGGGCTTATCTGAAGTTGAGGGTACCGTGCATGTTTATGTGTTTATACTATGTTTGCCGCCTCCGTGGTGTAGTGGTTAGAGCGTCTGCCCGGAGAGCGGAAGGTCGCGGGTTCGATCCCCGACCGCGCCATACCAAAAGACGTTCAAATATGGTACTTGTTGGTCCCTGCCTGGCGTTCGGCATTAATGGGTACAACAAGGACTGGTCGGCTCGGAGTCAGTATAATGTGTCTGAGTGGGGTATTCATGCTTCACTGCGGCATGGTATCTCAGTGGGCTAGCACTATAAAACCAGCTTAAGTCTGGGCTAGTACAAGCAGCCGCACATACACATACACACGCATGCACGTCGTCATATGAGCGAAATATTCTCAAGCACGACATTAAACCCAATTTCACCTCACCTTATACTATGTTTAGGGTACATGTCTGTGGCCATATCTGAGATGTGATATTTTTTCTTTACTCCTAACTTGTGTGTTCTGAATGAATTTACATCTTCTGAAAAATGTTATAAATTTTTGCAACGATTGAAATTATGCTTTGGTCGTAATTGGTTTATGGGATTATTCAAGGTGATGTGAGACATCAAAATAATATTGCGACTGTTCCAGTCAACAATTGTTCTGTTTCAACACATAATAATAGTAATACTATCCCACGTTTATGATTACAGAACTTTGTGGAAGTTTATGACCTCGTGAAGGATCCTTTAGAGATGACCAACATCGTAAAGTCAGCTGCACCAAGTCTCATCTCACAGTTCAGTGCCGATCTTGCCACCATGTCTCAATGCAAGGGAAAAGACTGTCGCAAGTTGCAGAAGACTTGACTTCCCATCACCTCCATCTTGTTATCATCCGCCAGTCTTGGTTCCCAACTGAAGCTTAACATATCAAATATTTATACAATATCAGCATTATCAGCTTGAGCTGAACCTGTAATTCAATATGGTCAAAGGAAGCCGTACTGGATTTTCTATAAAAATGTTTAACGTTTTTGAATCAGGACTGAAGCCCAAACTGTTATGTTTCACCTTTTTACTGTAAAATTTTTCTGATTTTAAAACAAATGTGTAGGATTGTGTCACTTAAACTCACAATGGGTTTAATTCCTTAATCTTCTTCAGACAGTACCATACTTGCTCTTTGATTTCATGTTGCAAATAATGACCTGTGTTTTCAGTCTCTTTTTCCACCACTAGCTTATAGGTGAGCGGGAGTGAGTCTAGTTTATGCCGCTTTTAGCAATATTCCAGCAATATCACAGCGGTGGACACCAGAAATGGGCACATTGTACCCATGTGGCAATCAAACCTGTGTCTTTGCATGACGCATGAAAGTTCTAACCACTAGGCTACCCCACTTATAGGTGTCATATTGACGAAATGAACCGATAGTTAAGAATAGGAAGTAGTTTTTGACTACTTTATGGTCAAGCCTGTTTGACAGATCAATACTTGGTGATCCACAATCTCTAAACATTCCAATGTTTGTCACGTAGAGATGTAAAGACATGAAGAATGTTCTTTGGTGCCACCTTTCAATGTTGTTTTTGGTCCTGTAGTCATCAGAGGTAAGTTTGTCCCAGGAACCTCCGATCCAAAAGTTGTCCAAGATGCAGTCATAATGGTTCCCACTCTGAAGTAAAAACAAAAGCGTGCTGCATCAAACTATTTTCCTGTAGACCCGTTAAGACCCATAGACCCGTGTTAGAATTGGTCTTCAGCAACCCATGCTTGTCATAAGAGGCGACTAATGGGATTGGGTGGTCAGGCTCGCTGACTTGGTTGCCACATATCAATGTATCCAAATTGCGTCGATTGATGCTCAAGTTGTTGATCACTGGATTGTCTGGTCCAGATTCGATTATGAAAGTAATAATTGCTTTATTCTCCTTGGAAAACCAAACAACTTCTTAAAAGTCTGGTGAACAACTTAGTATTTTGAGGTGGATTGCTAACTTATTTAAAGAGAAATATGTGGTGTTATGTGTTAAAATAATTTTAAAACGTTTATATTATACAATATATTTGGTATAAAAATTGGAAAAACTTTATGACAGAACATATGGATTGTAGAAGGAAAAATATCACAAGATACAAAGTAGTACGTAGGGCCTCCAATCATCTCCCATTTTCTGTTATTTTCATATAGATAAGTACCTTTATTCTCAAATCAAAGGCTATCTTATTGATCATTTATATCAAAGTGGCTGTACTCACCGTATGTGACGTCACAGGAAACAACTGATCGCATTGGCACATGTCAAATGGCAACCGGACAGGATTATAACTTCTCTTTTTGTGGATTTATTGTGTGTAAATAGGTAGGTATGAAACTTAATAAATTTAATATTTAATTAATATAAAATTAAACTCAATACTTTAATATGTATTTTATTGATCATTTATAACAAAGTGGCTGTAATTGTCGTAAACTTCCAGTGCTGTTCCAGGCAGGTGTACCACTAACCTGTAAGATCGTTCTGACAGGGCACTGACAAACTGAAAAATACTTTCAAGAAATTATATCTCATAGATAAGCCGACCCCCTTCTACAGACTGCTTTTGTTTGTCCTCAAAATTTGGCTTATCAATGGTAATATACAGTACTCTCCACACACCCACCTCCCAATTCATCCCATGTTATTCATTTTCTTAAAGATGTGTACCCCATGTGGTATTCCTGTTGAAGCTTGTTCCTGTGCTTGTGTTAAGAACAACTTAAAGGATCTAGGTTGATTCCATGTCACCAAACTCTAATTTGCTTGGAAAACTGTTCATATTATCAGTCACTGGTTTGTCAAGTCCATGGTTATCGCATGCCTTCTCTATACAGCTTTATTGTGCTTTGTGTCATTTTGTGTAAACGTATGTGATAACAATCAAACAGAATTATGTGATAACAATCAATACAAATGTAGTTGAGAACATTCAATATAAATGTATGTGATAACAGTCAATACAAATGTTGGTGAAAACGTCCATACAAATGTATGTGATAACAGTCAATACAAATATAGTTGAAAAAAGCCATACAAATGTATGTGATAACAGTCAATACAAATGAAGGTGAAAAAAGCCATACAAATGTATGTGATAACAGTCAATACAAATGTAGGTGAAAAAAGCCATACAAATGTATGTGATAACAGTCAATACAAATGTTGGTGAAAACGTCCATACAAATGTATGTGATAACAGTCAATACAAATATAGGTGAAAAAAGCCATACAAATGTATGTGATAACAGTCAATACAAATGTTGGTGAAAAAAGCCATACAAATGTATGTGATCACAGTCAATACAAATGAAGGTGGAAAAAGCCATACAAATGTGTGTGATCACAGTCAATACAAATATAGGTGGAAAAAGCCATACAAATGTATGTGATAACAGTCAATACAAATATAGGTGAAAAAAGCCATACAAATATATGTGATAACAGTCAATACAAATATAGGTGAAAAAAGCCATGCAAATGTATGTGATAACAGTCAATACAAATGTAGGTGAAAAAAGCCATACAAATGTATGTGATAACAGTCAATACAAATATAGGTGAAAAAAGCCATACAAATGTATGTGATCACAGTCAATACAAATATAGGTGAAAACGTCCATACAAATATATGTGATAACAGTCAATACAAATGTAGGTGAAAAAAGCCATACAAATGTTATGATAACAGTCAATACAAATGTTGGTGAAAAAAGCCATACAAATGTATATGATAACAGTCAATACAAATATAGGTGAAAAAAGCCATACAAATGTATGTGATGACAGTCAATACAAATGTTGGTAAAAACGTCCATACAAATGTAAGTGATAACAGTCACTACAGACATGTCTTTTCAATAAAAAAAAGACACTTGCCACGAATTTATTATCCTGGTTGTTTATTACTTATAATATATGATTCAGTTAATTTAAAAAAAATGAATGAAATTTTTCAATTGAAATTTTTACTGTGTTTTTATTGATATGTTATTATTGTTGTTTATTTTCTGAGAAAGTCACAACAAACTGTTATTATGTTTTACTTGCAAATTCATATTTACTGGAAGTGTATAAATATTCTTGTATTTATTTCCTATTCATTGAGAATATCAGTCTCATGCTCAAAACTTTAAATATGTTATTTGATGACGTTCCATATCCCAAAGAAAAAGCTTAATCACTGATTTTTTTATTGACACCTGGTGTCTTTAGCAACGGTGAAGGACCTGAATGTCCAAGTCAAGGTCAATTGTATCATATCAATCTGGCACCTCTGTCTTATATAGATTTTAACAACAGTGTGATTGACCAATCAGATGCCTGTAAAATTTATGTAGAATAGGTTGGCATGTCGGCATAGAATCAATCTAAGGCACCTCTGTCTTATATAGATTTTAACAACAGTGTGATTGACCAATCAGATGCCTGTAAAATTTATGTAGAATAGTATATTGAATAGTACTGTAGGAATCGCATCATAGAAGTGCACATCAAACTAACTTCTAGATGTCATTTAAAGAAGATAACATAAAGTGTCATAGCTTTTGATCTTTGCATATTAATTAATTTTTTTATTTTGATTAAGTTTCGGAGTACATATTTTCTCCTTCATCAGGTGAAATGTCATTTAAGAAAAATAATTGTTTTCTCATTCACCTAATGAGGGAGTAGAGTACCTAATGAGGGAGTAAGAGTATACTCCAAAACATGCATACCCGTGAAGATACGGGTTAGAATTGGTCTTCAGCAACCCATGCTTGTCCTAAGAGGCAACTGAGGGGATCGGGTGGTCAGGCTCGCTGACTTGATTGACACATGTAGATCGATGCTCATGATGTTGATCACTGGATTGTTTAGCTATTTGTCTTATGTACAGACTGTCACCATATAGCTGGAATATTGCTGAGTGTGGCTTTTAACAACCCACCAACCAACTGAAATATGCATTTTAATTAGTTATATTGAATATATATTGGCCTGTTGAACCACAGTGTACAGTGTAGAGCACTATTTTTATGAATTTCAGCCGGATGACTAATGTTGAGATAGATATTGCAGTGCTTCCAATGTCCAGTATTTTCTAGTCTCGACATATTGTAATCATAGGGTCTTCCTCACAATGTAGTGGATGGTCAGAGTGTCTGATGCACAAATGAATCTTAAGAGTTACAAATGTCATAAGTCATTCTTGAAGTGAGGATTTTCGTATGTCAGTGTAATGATTGTGTGCACCCTTAAATCAATTTGTGGAATGGGGCTCCGATCTTTGGTGTATTGTCTCAATCTTAAATCAATCTCATTGCATAATCAATGATGTCATTTTTATGATGTCATTTTTATGGCTGGTACAGATGCTCTGAGTCATGTTCCGGATCAGATGCGTTCATTGTGACAAAGTTTGCTTTCAATATATTATAGAATTATACATAAATGTTCGAAAACAAAGGACCGTAGGCCCATTCAGAATATCAAATGGTTGTTGCCTATGGCTGGCTATTAATACAGATAATAGTGACTGGTAATCATTATCTAAATATTGGGTGATTATTGATAAATTTTGGATAAATAAGTTTTGGGTAAAATGCACAAATGCCTGAAAGAAATGAAAAAAATTCACATCACTTTTGAGTGGTGACACCTTCAGCCATAGGTTATTTTCAACTACAAGGAGGTACTGTATTTAGTCTATTAAACTTGTGTAACAACGAGGCGTAGTGTCAACAAAGAATGGTAGTCTTCATTGCTTAAGGTACAACTTATGGGTCGGGATGAACAACTTGCACACAGCTTGCAGAGCCCGGCAGAGGGAAGGCGGCGAAGTGAAGCTGACACTTGGGCAGTAGATAGCTGGATTGACTGGTCAATTTGTCCCTTCATGTCCCAATGCTTGCCTTTCTTTTGGTTTGTGCGTGCTCTTCTCGATCCCTGCTGGCTCTGTTCTATTAGCCTGTCCTGTCTGCTTTTAAAGGCAGATGAGCTACCGACAGTCTGCATCAGTCTGCAGTTCTCCATGACATAATCTGCATAGGTGGATCCAGAAGGGGAATGCGCACCCCCATTTTCTCCTGATAGTTTATTAAATGACCATTGAAACTCTCATGAAAATGGGTGAAAAAATTTTGCACCCCCTTTCTCAAAAAGCTGTATCCGCCCTGATCTGTGTAGGTCGGCAGTTCTCGTGGACAAATTCTGCCTATCTGGCCATATTTTGACGAGCTTGACATATGTCCGGCAGGTGTGCACAACTATAGTGTTACATTTGATTGGTAGATTTCATTCTGTCTTTGGTACAAGTCTGTTTTGGTAAATAAAAACTTTATAGTAATAGTTAATGTAAGATATTTTCCATGACTATTTTTTTAAATCGATAATCATTAAGAATCCTTCTCATTGTCATTGTCCTTCCAATTGTCATCGTCTTTATGATTATTGATGTTTTTAGCCAGGATATTGGTGCCAAGGATTTGTCATTAGAACCCACAAAGCCAGCTGGTTAATATTGTTAAGGAGACCAAAGTCATACCAAAGTACAACAGTAAGAAACCCTGAGAGATAGATAACGTGCCTAGGGAGCATGGTTTTACGCCGCTTTCAGCAATATTCCAGCAATATCACGGCAGGGGACACCACAATCGGGCTTCACACAATGTGCCCATGTGGGAAATCGAACCTGGGTCTTCGGAGTGACGAGTGAACGCTTTAACCACTAGGCTACCCCACCGCCCCACTCATAGATGCCATATTGATCTAATGAATATATTGTTAAGAATAGGGAGGTGGTGTTTGCCCACCGACAACCTAGGTTTTAAGTATCTTAAGTGAAATACTGATGTCTCCTGTAAATAGTTTATTATGTCATATCTGTGCTTCCAATGTTGTATCTTGATAATAACATTGTGTGAACTTTTTGTGATATATACTATTTGACGGAACGAAATTCATGGATATCACCATGTTAATTTTGTGAAGATGTGTTTTTTGTGAAGATGTATTTTAATGAGCGATTGTGAGTGAGAGTGGGTTCACATTGATTGAGAATTTTTTCAGTTACATCACCTAATTTCTGCTTAATTTAGGAGGATTAATCAAAGAGATTCAGGTCTTTGCTGTTTGTGCTGACAAGCCAAGAAACATAATCAGAATGACTGGATGCACTTGTGCACTGTGAATTGAATTGATGACTCAGGATAGCTTCCAGATAATTAGGTCTAGAGTCTATATACCTGTGAAGATTCGGGTTAGAACTGGTCTTCACCAATCCAAGCTAGGTAGCTAAGATGATCGGTGGTCAGGATGACTTGGTTGACACATGTCATCGTATCCCATTTGAATAGATTGGTGCTCATGATGTCAATCACTGGATTGTGTGGTCCAGACTCGATTATCTACAGACTACTGCCATTAAGCTGGAATATTGCTGAGTGTGGCGTAAAACAACAAACAAAGAAAGTCTGTATGATTGTGGGTAGAGAGATGGTCCGGTGGAAGGTGTTGCAGCTCTCTGTGAGGAGTTGTGTCCCTTTGCAGTGGTCATGGGTCGAATCAAGGATTATGATATCATGATTCTTGCTTTGTCAGTACCATCCCACCTGTACTTGTAGATTAACATCAATGATCTTTCATCAGTTCAAATGATTTAAGCTTCCGTTCCACATTAGGGACGGCTGATTAAAATGGGGATTAATGTTCCAAAGAATTATTGCACTTTCCTTGAGACGTGTGTGGGCGTGGGGTGGCTTGGCATGGTGTGGTGAGTGGGTGTTTTGTAGTGAGTTGGTGTGGTTTTGTTTGGTGAGTGGGTGTGGCGTGGCATGGCGTCATGTGGCGTGGTGTATGTATGCTTGTGTGTGCACCTCAGTGTCTGTACCTGCTTTTACTAGTCCATATTTACACAATTTTTATAGTGCTAGTCCAGTGAAATACCAAGCCCCACCCAACCACATTATACTGCCTCAGCCCGACCCTTCCTCCATTTATCCGCTTAATTATGAGGACCGTCCAAGGAAACAACAAGTACCACTGAACCACTGACCTTCACCTCTCCTGTCAGTCCCTCCCACATTAAGATATCATGCTGTGATGTAACTAAATAAAGTTTCCGAAGCGATGGCAAACCCAACATACTAGATGTGAATCTGTAGGGAAAGTTCATGCATTAGTTTTTGTCAGTGTGATTTGAGATGTGGTATTGGTGTGTTCAGTTTTAATCAGTAATTTTCTTGTCTGTGTAAATGAATGATTGACACACACAGAGAATGAACCCAGTGAATTATACATGTAGTTGAAATATTATTTCCAGTGTTGAAATTGTGATATCTTTGTCAATAAAGCTGTTTTGCCAGCGACATATGTCATGAGTTTCATTATTCTTTTTATATATACGTCAGCCATTTGTGAAAACTGGGAATTAGTATATTGCGTGGTTTATTAAAAAGAGAGAAAGGGAAACACAAAAACAAAAACCCAAAGCCCAAATTATTCCTGTGGAATTCCACACCACTTTCACTAATCTAAATTACGAAATGAACATGAAGAAAACATTTTCTATAGTCCTTGTTAAATTAGTATTTTTCTATGAACATATTTCATGAAACATACTGTAATGGGTTTTTTGTTATCATACGTTGCTTCATTGTTTTTTTAGGACTTCCTTTGAAAGGATGGAAAATTGATGAAAATGTATTTTTGAAAGATTTATGTGTGAACAAATTTGTGTTGAAGCTTATTGAAGCCTTTTTATCCCAGTCTGGTGTAGTAGTTTATTTGGTCTCCTATAAAAGAGAAGTTATTTTAAATTAAATGATGAAATATGTGTAAAAAGGGTAGAGAAATACAAAACACGATTTTAGGTATAAATATGATATAAACGTCCGGATTCGAACTTACACTGAGAGAAACGTCGGGCAAATCAGTGCCATTGTTATCACGTGACTACATCTTATGACCATCAAGATGGCCGCTCCCTCAAGGAACCTACTCGCAGTCTGCTGTTGTATCCTGGTTGTTCTGTTACAGAGCCATGCCAAACCCCCGAACATTGTGTTTGTGTTGACAGATGACCAGGATGTTGTCATCGGAGGTCAGGTAGGCTGGTGCATCGGCGAATGTTAGATTTATTCAGGTATTTAGTATACTCTTAAAATTTTGTTATCAGCTGGTTATCGACCACAGATCTGCTGACAATGACAAATCTAGACTCGTGATATAATAACAGTTATGTCATGTCAGCCCGACTCCATCACGGCTGTCGGCTAAGCAGTGACACGACAGCTGACGCAGAGCTTGTGCACGGGGCATTTGACAATGAGAAGCATTAATTTCTAACTCAAGTCAGCGACAGCGTTTGGCTTTGGCTAACGCATTTACTGATTTAGTGAAGGTTTTGATCGAAATATGTAAACATATCAGTACATTTTAATTGAAAATGTGTCACAGTGAGATCGGGATTCAGAACTTCATCCACAGCTTGAGGAAATAAGTCTTGTTTCTATGACAGAGAGGGCCGATTGGAAGGGAAAGTAATGTATTTCAGGGACTGGGAGACACTATATGTAGCTTTTGTTCAGACTTTACACGGTGATTGAATGACGGTTATGAAACAAAACTTTCCCAGGGGCAGG